TCCTGAAATGGCCACAATCGTCAGGCTGGACCAGGTAAAAGCTAAGAGCCAGGAACTCCATTAGGGTCTACCCTGTGGGTGCAGGAGTCCACGTAATTAGACCATCTCTGCTGCTTTCCCAAGCATTTTAGCAGGAAACTGGATCTTTGAAGTGGAGCACCCAGGACTCAAGCAGCACACTCCGATATGGATCTGACATTGCAGACAGCAGCTGCAATGGCATGACACACAACACTGACCACAGCGATAGTAAAACTAGACAAATAGACAAACAGGATTATATTTAACACAGAAGTTTCTACATAGCAAAAGAAACAATAGAATGAAGAGACATCCATCAGAATGGAAAAAAAATATTTGCAAGCTACCTATCCAACAAAGGATTAATATCCAGAATATATCAACAACTCAAAAAACTCAACAAGAAACAACCAATCCAGTTAAGAAATGAGCAAATGACCACAGCAGTTCCCAAAAGAAGAAATACAGTCAACAAATACATTAAAATAGTATTCAACATCACTAGCCATTAGGGAAATGCCAATCAAAACCTCAATGATATATCATCTCACCCATTTCAAAATTGCTATTATCCTAATGACAGAAAGTAACAAATTCTGACAAGGATATGGAGAAAGGGGAACTCATATACCCTGTTGGTATAAAGGTAAATTAATGAAGCCACTGTGGAAAACAGTCTGGAGATTTAACAACTAGAATTAGAACTGCCATATGAATCAGCAACCCCACTACAGGGTATAATACCAGAAACTCATAAACATGTTGTATCAAAGAGATACCTGCACCACCATGTTTACCGCACAATATGGAAGAGGCATGATATGTTATCAACCAAGGTGTCCATCATCAGATGAATGAATAAAGAAAACATGGTGTGTGTGTGTGTGTGTGTGTGTCTGTACACACAATAGAATTTATTCAGATATAAAAAGAATGAAATTCTATCATTCACAACAAAACAGTTTCATCTGAAGGACCTCATGTTGAGTGAAATAATTCAGACACAGAAGGACAAACACTTCATGTTCTCCCTAATAATGTGGGAGCTAACATTAAAAAGGAAAAAAAAAATCAAAAACAAAAAAACAAAGAGATGACTCTATCAGCATTGCTGCAACACAATTTTGTCAAAATTTGTTTTACATCTTTATCAAACCAATAGTTAAGAACAATATACTACTGGGGCTGGTGCTGTGGTATAGGGGTAAAGCCTCAAATTGCAGTGCTGGCATCCAATATGGGCACTGGTTTGTGAGCCAGCTGCTCCACTTCTGATCCAGCTCTCTGCTATAGCCTGGGAAAGCAGTAAAAGATGGCTCAAGCCCTTGGGCCCTTGCACCCATGTGGGAGACCTGGATGAAGCTCCTGGCTCCTGGCTTTGGATTGGCACAGCTCCGGCCGTTGCAGCCAATTGGGGAGTGAACCAGTGGATGGAAGACTTCTCTCTCTTTCTGCCTCTCCTCTCTCTGTATAACTCTGACTTTCAAATAAATACAATAAATCTTTAAAAAAAAAAGAATGATACAATACTATAGTTTTGATGATCTGTGATTCTTTTGAAATTACTCTATATGAGTGAAATGGACATATTTTCATTTGATTATTATTTATAGCCCTTGCCAATATTCTTGCTGAACTATACTCTTTTTACTTTGTACTAGTTGAACTCTATTTGCTCTTTATTTAGTGGAGCATTAAAATTTTGACTATAAATTAAATTAAATTAAAAATTGTTATCTCAAAAATCAAAAAAGCAAGAAATGAAGGAAGGAAGAAAGAGAGAGAGAGGGAGGGAAACTGGAGTGTCATATTCTAAAGAATTCTATCTATCAACTAAAATGAAGTTGCTATCTTTGTATTATCATCAAATTAACATGAGAATTGATGAGAATTGTGTTATAATTATAATCATGCATTTGCTGTGACCCTGAGAATCTAATATATTAACAAACTCCTTTAAAAAATGCCTATCTGTATAATTTGGGACATGCTCAGGCTGACTTGCCCCAAGTGGTGGAGTTGGAAGCATACCAGGGGATTCCAATTCAATCCCATCAAGGTGGCATGTACCAATGCCATCTCACTGTTCCAGGTGATCAGTTTCAGTTCACAGTTGGTCATGGTGAAGGGACTGGGAGTCAAAGGGAACACATAGACAAGTCTAGTACCTGCTAACACTAACCGATGGAGTAAATAAAGGGGAGAGTGATCCAACATGGGAAGTGAGATACTCAGCAGACTCATAAAATGGCAGATGTCCTAAATAGCACTCTGGCCTCAGAATCAGCCCTAAAGGCATTCGGATCTGGCTGAAAAGCTCATGAGAGTATTTCAGGCATGGAAAGCCAAGACACTCTGGCAAAAGATCTCTGCGAGTGAGATCCCAGTGGAAAGAACAGGTCATCAAAGAAGGAGGTACCTTTCTCTGAAGGGAGGAGAGAACCTCCACTTTGACTATGACCTTGTCTAAACAAGATAAGAGTCGGAGAACTCAGAGGGCTTCCATAGCCTTGGAAACTCATGACTGGAGCATAGGGAGATTACTGATGCCATAGACAGGAGTGTCAATTGGTAAAGTCAACAACAGGAGTCACTGTGCACTTACTCCTCATGTAGGATCTCTATCCTTAATGTGCTGTACATGGAGATTTAATGCTATAACGAGTACTCAAACAATATATTTCACTTTGTGTTTCTATGGGGGTGCAAACTGTTGAAATCTTTACTTAATGCATACTAAACTGATCCTCTGTAAAAAAAAAAAAAAAAAAAAGAAAGAAAGAAATTATCAATTCCCAACTTGACTCTCACTGGGATTAAACATGACAATAGGTCTGCTCTGATTTCATCATCATTTAAAAAAATCATCTATTATTTTTCACTTTATGTTTCTGTGTGGGAGCAAACTGTTGAAATCCATACTTAATGTATACTAAGCTGATCTTCTGTATATTAAGATAATTGAAAAAGAATCATGATGTGAATGGAAGGGGAGAGGGAGTGGGAAAGGGGAAGGTTGTGGGTGGGAGGGACGGTATGGGGGGGAAGCCATTGTAATCCATAAGTCGTACTTTGGAAAATTATATGCATTAAATAAAAGTTTAAAAAAAAAAATGCCTATCTGCCAAAGGTTGTTTTTCTACTAAAAAGATGTTTCTCTGCTAGGAAGAGGATAGAATTTATAATTTGGAAAAAAAAAAAAAAGAAACCATGAAACAAGTTCATTTTATCTAGAACTGTTGCATTTTAAAGTTTTAAATTATCTTATAGGTCATTTAGGATAATCCAATATATGATACTAAAATCTGGTGGATTACCTGTGATGTGGAGAACTTACTTTCTTTTGGGGAGGCTTAATCTGTTTTTGGAAAACTACAATATAAATATATATTTAAAAGGGTAGGTTTTTATTCTTGTTGCACCTATTAGGCTGTTTTAGAAATATCTTATTGTAGTTTTTCATATCTATTCATGTAGCTGTTTTTCTCTGCGTTTTCTGTATTTATAGAGGCAGAGATTGTAACTGATAAAAATGCTCTATATTCAACCATGATCAAAGTCATGTTTATAAATGTCTTTAATAAATATGATTTGATTATGATGGGAAAATATGAAAACATGTATACACTCATACATTTGGGAATATGAAAAATCATAGGAAGTGCCAAGTGGTGAAAAGTGTGAATTCATGCAAAAACATCTAACTGCAAATATCTACTGTTTAACATACATTAAATAAGATGTAAAAATGTTTCATTATTAGAATATTACCTTCTATGAATAAAGTCTACGCAATTAAATTTATGATATCTGAAAACAAATTTGCATATTGCTTGATGGATAACAGAATGTCCCAAATATATGATTATTATAGCTGAAAGCTAGGTTGATCACATTTATAAATTATCTTTACTAAATATGACAATCCTTAAAAATGTGAATGGAACAGTTTTTCAAAACATTGTTTCTTTTGTCAACTAACAATAAATAAGTTCCTATTTTTAAACAATCCTCAGTCTTTCCCTATTTTTAATTTTTTCTAAAAAAAGATTTATTTATTTATTTGAAAGGCAAAGTGGCAGGGGAGTGGGAGAGAAGAAAGAGAGGGAGAGAAATAAAGATAGAAATCTATTTTCTATCAGTTGTTTCATTCCCCAAATGGCTGTAATAGCCAGGTCTGGGCCAGGCTGCAGGGAGAAGTCAGAAATTTAATCCTGGTCTCCCACGTGGGTGGCAGGGGCCCTGCTCTTGGGTCATCAGACATTGCCTTCCCAGGTGCATTAGCTGGAATGCTGGATGGGAAGGGGAGCAGTCAGGACTCAAACAGGCATTCTTACGTGAAATGTGAGTGTCACAACTGGCAGTTTTTCCCACTGTTCCACAATGCTGGTCCCTCTCCATTTTTAATTATTCCTTTGCTTCTATCTATAAGCTACCTTACCAGTTGCTATATAGATACTGTGTAAATTTTCTATGATTTACAGATTTATGAAAGCTGTTATTGATTTCTGTTTTTATATCATGTCATTGTGAAATGATCCTTCACATGATTCTTAAATTTGTTAAGACAAACTTGGTGACCTACCATCTCCTATCCTGGGGAATGTCCCATGTACTGAATAAGCTTTATTATTTTATATGTTTTTGTTTTACTAGTTAGCATATTTCACCTGAAGAATTCCCTTTAGCATTTTTGTAAGGCAGGTCTAGTGATGATAAATATCTCTATCTCTTTTTTTCCCCCCAATAAAGTCTTTCCTTACTTTCCAAAAGGGTAGAAACAGACACTCTGATTGCATAGATAATAAAGCAAAACTTTCTATCTATAGGAATACGTTGGAAAAATCTTCCTAATTGTAGAACCAAATAGACACAAAGATTTTCTGAAATATTTGTATGAATGCAATCATATGTTAGAAAAAAAGACATAAAAAGGATATATAAATGACAATATTAATAATAATAATGAAAATACATACCAGATCTGACTTCGGTGGGTCTGGACACTCAGCAGAGAAATAAGGTGCTGAACTTCTGACTCCACTACTGTCAGAAGTTGGTTTTGGAGGCTGAGCATGCTGTCTATAAGTAGCACTTTTAGGAGTCCAACAAAACAAGTTGATTGATTCTCGAACACAGCGTTCAATGTCGATTTCTAGACAGAAAAATGGCAAAAGGAATTTGGATTGCTTTGTTAGTGTAAAAAACTCCATCTATTCTAAATGTATTTATCCAAATAAAGCTAATAACTAATTAGAAAAAATGTCAGTTAAAAAATAGATATTAATTATCATATTTATAACCAAGACAGTAAAGGAACATTTGGCATCATTATATGTATACATGTATTTAAATATATACTTGCTTTTTTAGGTGTGCATTTTACTTGGTATTTTCATTCACATACTCATATACACATAAATATGCTTATTTCAGTATATCATTGTTCAAACCACACAAAATATAACACATTTCCTTATATTAAAATCTGCTCTATTTATATTGATAATGTTTTTACATTCCCAAAGTAAAACAAAGATGGTAGAGGGGAGGCTAGAATTTGGGACCATGACTATTAGTAAAGTGCACTGACATGTTCATTGGTATTTATTAAAGATTCTTGATGAGGGGCCGGTACTGTGGTGCAGTAGGTTAATCCTCCACCTGCAGTGCCGGCATCCCATATGGATGCAGGTTCTAGTCCCGGCTGCTCCTCTTCCCATCCAGCTCTCTGCTATGGCCTGGGAAAGCAGTAGAAGATGGCCCAAGTGCTTGGGCCTCTGCAGCCACGTGGGAGACCCGGAAGAAGCTCCTGGGCTCTGGATTTGGCGCAGCTCCCGCTGTCGCAACCATCTGGAGAGTGAACCCATCGGATGGAAGACTTTCTCTCTGTCTCTTCCTCTCACTGCCTTTAACTTGCCTCGCAAATAAATAAATAAAATCTTAAAAAAAATAAAGATTTTTGATGAGGAATTAGTCATTCCTGTATGCAGAAATTAGAGAGTTCACACAAAGGCATTAGAAATCAAGAAGTTGGGGGCTGGCACTGTGGCGTAGTGGGTTAACACCCTGGCCTGAAGCGTCAGCATCCCTTATGGGCACCGGTTCTAGGCCCGGCTGCTCCTCTTGCACACCAGCTCTCTGCTATGGCCTGGGATAGCATTAGAAGATGGCCCAAGTCCTTGGGCCCCTGTACCCATGTGAGAAGCTCCTGGCTCTGGATTGGCGCAGCTCCAGCTGTCGCAACCATCTGGAGAGTGAACCATCGGATGGAAGACCTCTCTCTCTGTCTCTACCTCTCTGTAACTCTTTCAAATAAATAAAATAAATCTTTAAAAAAAAAAGAAATCAAGAAGTTGGCTAAGATAAAGGAGTTGAGCATTGATGAGCTTTTCTTCCTTTATTTCTAAAATCTGTAAATAGCAGGTATACTCATTTTCTCTGTACAAGAATAAGTGTATCAGTTCAGATAAGCAATAAAGAAAAAATATATTATGGGTTAAGTTCTCTATTTCTCTGTTTGAAATGAAGGGCTTACAATATAAAGAGAAAAGGAAAAAGACATTGAGTAGATTCTGTGGATGGTGCATGAGTCATGCATTTCGAGTTGCCTTCCATTATAGGGTGAAGAATCCTTGCAAAAGTAAAGGGGAAAATGACATGTAATGAGCATCTATGAAGTGTCAGGCATTGTATACATTCACACAGTCCATTTAATATGCACAGTGATTCTTAAAGACAAGTGTTGTAATCTCCCTCTCTACACACCACCATTTCTGATAAAGAAACTAAGACATGAGAAAGCTTAGTAACTTAATGTTAAATTTATTACTATGAGCAGAATGTCTTAAGCTACCAACGGGTTATAAGGCATCTTTTGTATTTCCCAATTCATTTTAGATTTGGAATATGGCCAAGGGGTCTGGAAAGACCAGTTACTCAATTAAGCATTCCTTTGCCTGTTATTGGTGATATTTGCCAACTTCACAGCTGGGTTCTTCCAGGGCTACACAAAGAGGTCAGACTTCATCATCTCACATGTTGTTCTTAAAAAAGAATCTATAATACAGAGTTAGACTAGCTTTGAGTCATGGTTGCATTTATTTGAGCAATGGTCAATATGGTGAAATGTATTTTTAAAAATGCCCCATAGCATTGTCAATTTGATATTTCACAAAGAGAAGTATGTAAACACAAGCTAGAAGAAATATCTTAAGGTAGGTCTTTCTACTCTGCTTAAAAAGAAAGAAATTCTCATTTATTTCAGAAAACTTTCAATTAAAACAGTTAAGATAAAGACTGGGTAGCTAAAGAGAGAAATTCTCAGGTATCTAAGTTTGTCTAGCAAACAAATGCAGAATCAAGAAAAAGGCAACTTGATACTAGTAAGCAAGCTTTCCAGAAGTTTTACTTGCCCTCCCTCTCTAGCTTGGTCATAGTCTTGAAGATGGCTATGGGGAGAGGTGGATGAGGAATGACCACAAAATGAATATGGAGTTTTCTTTGAGGGTGATTAAAATATTTTGAACTTAATATAGGCAATGGTTGTATAACATTGTGAATATATACTAAACATCAATGAACTATATAGCTTAAAATGATTAATTTTGGTAGGTGATTTTTAAAAAATCAATGGGCAGGATAAAGAAATCCCCCAAAATTATTGTTGAATTATGTCAAACTCTAGGTGCAGCTCATTTATAAGCCTGATTACCCATCTTCCTCCTCCTCATCTACATAAGCATACAGCAAACAGTGAATATGAGCATAGCACCTGGGGGTAGTTTACTTGGATTGGAACTCTGAAACTCTTACTAGATTATCATTGTGAATCTCTGTAAATCTGATTTCCTCCTCAGTCATTGAAATTAAATAACATATCATGGCACTATGTTGACTGGCATATAGTAAGTATGTAATAAATGTTGATTTTGGTGATATAGGGACTATTCTTAGTACTGTTTTTGTCTCTTATAGCATAATAAAGAACTCCTGTGTCTATAGACATCATATGCATAATAATAATAGTGATAATCTATTCAGTGACTGTTACACATCAGGTACTGTGTCTATATTTTCTTTAATTGTTTAGTAACATTGTACTTGTCAGAAACAAGAGTCTGCCAGCAAGAAGGCCATCACCTAATATGGCCCCTTGAATTTGGGCCAGAACTGTGAGCCCAAACAAACCTCTTCACTACATAACTTCATACATAACTTCACTACATAACAGACCAATATATCCTAGTTATACTTGATTCACTTCTTGACTGGGGTAACAAATTTTGACTTTTCATCCACATGTAAAATAAATTCCATTGCCAAAGGATACTATCATCAAAAAAATTCACATACAAGTTGATTTGCATTTAGCCAGATGAAGTGGAAGGTGAATTTGCAGGAAATATAAATATTTATAAAACAAGTGTATATTCACATGACAGAAGGGTCATGAAGCCACATTGAAATATCTGCACTTACAAAGGACATTTAACAGACATTTTGGGCAATATGATGGAAATATTTCCTTACCTACTCTAAAGTTCTCATCTCACAGTTAAAAATAACATGATTGATATTTAATATCAGGGCCGGCGCTGTGGCGCAGCGGGTTAAAGCCGTGGCCTGCAGCGCCGGCATCCCATATGGGCGCCATATGGTTCGAGTCCCGGCTGCTCCATTTCTGATTCAGCTCTCTGCTATGGCCTGGGAAAGCAGTAGAAAGATGGCCCAAGTCCTTGGGCCCCTGCATCCGCGTGGGAGACCTGGAGGAAGCTCCTGGCTCCTGGCTTCGGATCACCTCAGCTCTCGCCATTGCGGTCATTTGGGGAGTGAACCAGCAGATAGAGGACCTCTCTCTCTGGCTCTACCTCACTCTGTAACTCTGTCTTTCAAATGAATAAAATAAATCTTTTAAAAATATTTAATATCATCCTTTGTTCAAGCTCATAATTTTGTCTTGTGAACTAGGTAGAGAATAACTAGCCAATAGCACTGCTAAAGTTATGAAATATTCTTGTATATACAAAGCACAAGCATAAAACATGGCTTTATTTTTAACTCATTTACATTAAAATTTTTAACTCATTTACATGAAATGAGTTAAAATTTTTAAAAATCAAGCATTTATTTGATGTTCATTGAGAAAGGACTACCATGTGCAAAAAAAGAAATGGCCAATAACTTGAGGTTTTTATTTACTAGCAAATACTGCTACTTTTATATTTAAAAATGAGCTTCTGAGGAAGTCAGCAGTGAAGAGCTGAAACTGACTGAAACTTTTGAAACTGCTGATGTGGAATTGTTTAATTAACAGAAATCTACTTTTGTAAGCAAATAGCATGATTCTTCATGTAGTAAAAGGGATAGGATTTGGATTCAAAATGTTAATTACTAACTTATATAATATTTAGTGGTCCACAACATTATAACCTGGCTATTGCAAGGGCAAAACAGAGGTACTTAACAGTTTTGATTTTTATATGACTACAAAATATAAAAAATGTGGGTTTTTTTTGAAAGTCATTTTACAGATTATCTATACTACTCAAATTTTCTCTCTCTCTTTTTAAAGATCAGTTATTGGGGCTGGTGCTGTGGCGTAGCAGGTAAAGCTGCTGTCTGCAGTGCTGGCATCCCTTTTGGGCGCTGGTTGAGATCCTGCTGCTCCACTTCCGATCCATTTCTCTACTATGGCCTGGGAAAGCAGTAAAAGATGGTCCAAGTCCTTGAGCCCCTGCACCCGTGTGGGAGATCTGGAAGAAGCTCCTAGATCCTGCCTTCAGATCAGCACAGCTCCAACTGTTGTGGCCAACTTGGGAGTGAACCAGTAGATGGAAGACCTCTCTGTCTCTGCATCTCCTTCTCTAACTCTGACTTTCAAATAAATAAATAAATAAATCTTTAACAGAAAAAAAAGATCAGTTATTTATCTGAAAGGCAGAGTTATATATAGAGAGGGAGATAAAGAGGGCTCTTCATCTACTGGTTTACTACCCAAATGGCTATAACAAGCCCGGAGCTTCATCTGGTCTTCTACGTGTGTGCAGGCATCCAAGTTCTTAGCCATCTTCAGCTTCTCAGGCTGAAGCTCCCCATCTGCACCATCCCAGGCACAATTGCAGGAAGCTGGATGGGAAGTGGAGGATCTGGGAA